TTTTGGGGATTCTTATCTAAAACCATAATCCAAAAATGAATTATTTGAAATAATCCGCTTTGTGTTGGTATTTTTAATGAATTATAAAAAAATAAGGATTTAATTTTGGGTTTTAATTAAATCTTTTTGATATTTCCCAGGTTTACAAAAAATTTTTAGTATTTTTTTAGATTTCAGAAAACAGTTTAGAAATTTTTTGAAAAGTTTTTAATTATTTGCGCAACAGTTTTATGCAATTTCTGACAAAGAGTCCGACTTTTTTTCAGGGATTTTGGTACTTTTTAATTTATTATTAAATAAAAGATTCTTTGAAATAATAAGATATTTGTCGATATTATTGAAGATTTCTGGTTTATGAGGGATTTTAACACATGAATTTTTGAATGGCATTGTTTTGGAATACTTTGCCAAATAAGTAATTATATTTTTTTCAACTTTGATTATTTTTTCCTTAAATTTTAAAATCATTGATTTGGAGTAAACTTCAAGTTAAATCCACATTATTTATTTTTTTAATTAATTAACTGCCAAAATTGAAATACAAGCAAGTAAAATGTTGGCAATGTTTGCTTTACTTACACTTTTTAGGAAAACTTTGCATTGCATTTTATGAGATTTAGTAGAATTTTTGGAAAATCCTGATAATTTTTTGTAAGTTTTATAAAATTTTTGGATATTTCAAAAATGCATCTTTGAAATAGCTATCTTTTAAAGTAGATTTCTGATCCAAAAAACATACATTTTTTTTGTTTATCTCAATCCTAAATAATTTTAATAAAAATTTCTAAGAATTATAAGAGTTTTTTTAGGCCTTTATATTGTTACAAAATTTTTGAGAAAGAAGTCCGATTTTCTCCTACGTTGTTTTGAACCATTTGTTGTAAATATTGTTATTCTGTTTTTTGATATATTTTGGGACTTATGAAGAATTTTGAGTATTTTATGAAAATGAAATTTTTGAGATAGAGATTTCTTAAAAAGCCTCTCTTTGAAGATGCAAAGTTCTATATTTATTAGCGGTACTAAAGATTTATTTTTTGTTTTTAAAAATCAAACAAAAATTAATTTTGTTCAAATACAAATGGGAAACTTGTATACGCACCTCTTCTGTAAGGCTTGGGAATTTGTCCCGTCTCAGCGTGGTTTTGTAGATTGGCCACAATGTCCTCGAGCATTTGCGACCTTGTCCTTTCTTGCATCCTTGCAAATTTCGGTGCCGAGTAACTGGCCCTTTCACCGTTCACGATTTTGGTGAGAAGCCACTCCCTGAACATCGGCCCCTTGTCGAAAACACTTTGCTCCCATAGATAAGGCTTGTAGGCACCCACTTCATCACGAGTAACGACCGACACTTCATATCGAGTGGGCTTCCTCTTAATTCGAGGCGAAGTACGCACTGAAACATTTTTCAATTTCACAAAGTTAATATTTGTCAACGAACAACCAAAATCGAATCCTCACCTAAAATAAAAGTGTGAAGAAAGTGGCTTTTGATACAAGCCGGTGAAAATGACGTGTTATCAGCTTCGAGAAACACCACACAGACGATATCGTTGCCTATGTGTCGCTTCCTTTGCAGCTTTTGGGGGTCGTGCTTCTCGTAAGGGAGCAAAGTACTCACATGAAACATGATTTCGATGTTCCTCCAGTTTGTGTAAACCGAATATAAGCCTAAAATCATCATGTCTCAGCCAGGGGGTTAATAGTGAAACAACAAGCACCTGTCAAATCGTGAACTGTATCCAAACCGCCCTTGTATTTATCGAAGCCCTTCAAACGCACCTTCTCACCGAAAAGCTGCAGAAACTCTTCAAACAGCACCGAATTGTCGTTATTGTCTAAAATCTCCTCTTCGGTGTATTGCCCTTCTTTCACGTAGATCACACCCACTTTTAGCTCCGATTTTATGAAAACCTTCAACGAAATTTTATTAGCCCTTCTTTGGCCATAAAACATTTAATTTTAAAACAATAAATAAAAAACCGATTTTATTTAAGAAAAAAATTATTAGTATGGTAATCTCAAAAATGTTAGAAATATTTGGTTTACAACACCTTTTAGGAAAACTTTGCATTGCATTTTATGAGATTTAGTAAAATTTTCTGAAAATCCTTACTATTTTTTGTAA